TTCTGAAAATCATTTACAGTCGGACCACGTCGGACAAGCAATTTCAAGTCCCCGAGAGACAGAAATCGGACCATCTGGACTTCTCTACCTTCTTCCGACGTCCCTGGCACCCACTCCGACCCACTCCGACTATACGTGGTTTTCTGAATTGATGGTCTATCGATCTGCAAGCGGCTGTAAGCCAATCTTCTTCACTCACCTCTGAATCAGTTTCTCCTCGTCCACATCATGCCTAGGCTTGACAATGAAAGACGTAAAATTCCAAGCATGGGTCTCAGAGTCACAGGAGAAGACAGAGCTGATGATGGAGGCGAGAGCCTGAATCTCGGATTGTCTGCGCTGGCTGTTCACCACTCTTTCATCCGGCGATTCCGGAACATCCCAATGCTCTTACAACCCGTCGCAAAGTGCATGCCGCGGTAACGCTTTTTGGCCCCGTGCGCTTGCTCCAGTCCGGCCTGCCAGTGTCAATGCTAGTGGAGCTCATCACTCTCATTGCCGCGTTGTAAGTCATTCACCCTTCACGCCTATCATATTTGTGATAGACTCGGCTCATAGTTTTTGGCCTGGAGTCAAGAAGCTTAGTTGTACAGCTACACAGATCCCTCGTGCGTACTACTTCAAGGACGCCAACTCCGCTGTCATCATGGACTTGACCTAGGCATCCAATGGCGCTGCCGGCGGACCCTGCTATTCTGTCGGTGTCGTCGAATCCCCTGTAACCACTATGGGTGCTACGAACTGATTGACTGTCGTGGGGAGTTCCTTAGCGGATAGGGCTCCAAAACTTAGGAACTTTGATTTTGATTGTCACCATTACCGCACACATTCGCTCCCTAGTACTACGGACTATCGTAATATCGGACAGCTGAACCGTGTTTCCATTATGTCATTGATTCTTTGGAACGCTAGCGAGTGAGGGATAGCTGACAACGCTGAGAATGGAGAATGGAGATACAGCGAATGGGAGTGAATCCGTCCTGGTGATATACAAGTACCATACGTCCTCTGACAAATGATGATAGTTACGTTGCCAGCAGTCGACGCTGATTAGAGAAGCGGGACTGGAGATATTGGCGGTTATTAAGGCTAAGAAATGTGGAGGAGTCTGTTCAACACGGAGAATATATTCAAGTGATGGAGGGGCTCACGATCCAAGTAAGGAGTTAGAATATACTATGAAGACCGTGAGTTGATGCCCATAAGGCGTAGTCAGTTTGATTGCAATGCCCATATATGCCATGTTTTTCCCGCTTCTAGCATTCAAAGCGACGAACTGAATAAGGCTTTCGCATTGATATCACTTAACAGCAGTAGAGAACTGTTCCCCTACGGTGAAGAAGTCGACACAAGTAAGAACACTGTTCTTGGATGTCAGTGTCGCTAGGGCTGAACAGATATACCAAGGCTATGACCTTGTTAATATCCCGGTACCGACAGCCTGAGTCAGTATGGCCGTAACAACTGATCTATGTGACAAGTGGATGAGCCAATCAATCCGATCCTCCCTTCGGATGTCTGTGTAACGCACTTGGAAGCCACCAAGGGTGTTTGTCTTGATTTTGACAGTGCATGGACCAGTGCCGCAGCAATTCCAACGTCGGTCACTGCAACACTTCCAGCCGCTATACCTGCTGTTGTCTGGAGTCAAGGAGATCAACGACGACTAAATGAATAGTTCTGCCTATATTAAATGGCACTAACAGCATCGATCTGCCAACCCGAAAGTTCGGCGGAGAAGGATGGGTTGATGAAACTGATGATATTCAGAAAGACAATGAAGAGGGTGGGTTTGTCACTTACCACCGTACAACGAACACTGATCAAATGCAGCCAAATTCAGTGAGGGGATTACTGTACTGATGATACCCCTTACCCATCGATGACGCTGCATCATCGAGAAGAAGATCACTCTTGTCAGTAGCAGTGTACGTTACTGCTGTGAGTACATTACCTTGCCCAACCACTACGGGCATCAGCTATAGAATGAAGTCAGAGCAGTCCGTGAGGTTCGCAGGACAGATGGCTCGACCAGCAAGAGTGCACTCATCTTGTGACCCACTATTTTCCATGTTGGGGAGAGATGAGGGAGTTTGTGATCATTGAGCATGACAGGATGCTTGAAGGACATATAATATCTCACGTTTCCATATTCTTGAGATGAACGAGCTAGGAGTGCTGCATGTTACATCACCATACGGACAGAGATGAAATAGGGTTTACCACTCCACAAGAATCGCTGACATATTCTGAGAGTGGTGGGTACGGTTATATTCCATAATAGAATAGACGTGAGTCAGAGAATTCACCATAGGTATGACTGATGCCTGTGGGGACCGTGATTATCATTTCTTAACATGAACATATCCCATACCACGAGGCTCCTGGAGATGGCCCAGGGCACGTCATGAGCACACACACACTCTGCTAGTTTTGAGCAAAAACTCACCAGATTGCGGACAGAAGGCCTAATATGTTCCCGTTGCATTTCGTCGCGAGATAGTAGTATAGTGCATGCGTTATCAGACAGAGTGTCAATGTTTCCGACTGCAACGAGAGAGTGAGGCAAGATCACTTCGGTGTGATGACTGGGCTAAATACTAACCATGAATACCGCGATAACCTCGCATGATCACAGATATCACACTGAGACTTCGGGAGGTATCAACAACATACCAGGTATTTCCTGCGGACTTTGTCCTGTTTGTATGTCATAAAATACCTGATGGCTTGGCCGCATGTAACGCCATATAACCTATATTACCCATTCAGCTCACAATAGTAAATAGACGGAGGAATCTGATATTTACGCCGCAGAAACCGTCCAGCCAATGAACATGGCTCCCAGAGAAGAATCAAATAATCCCATTTCGAACGAGCACCCCTAGGAGATGAACAGACATGATACGGGAGGCTGCCGCTTTATACTCTTCAAACCAGGAACGCGGGAAAGGCTGTTCGTGAAATCTATCTCAATCATGATATCAGTGTAAACTGGCACTCAATTTGCATAGCTATTGCCCAGCAAATCAATCAGGCTTGCACCCAGTACCTGATTGCAACAGACTTAAGAAGATACAATACGCGAACGGTTGTACTACTTGCAATTGTAGGTGGACCGGACCCAGGGATCTCCCAGGCTCCTGGAACAATCTGTTCTGTCTGCGTTAACGTTGAGAGAAGATAGGCGAAGAAATATAGATGTACATAACGTGAACACGGGACTTTCTTCACGTCCGACGGGATGTCGTCGGATCTCCTCTCAACTGCTCTCGACTTCCGTAACCCGGACGTAACTCCTGTCGTACCGTGTCAACTCCGAGCTTACGATCCCGGACGCAAGCTTACCTCGTAGCGTAAACTTTTTTGATCCTCATACCCGCAACGCGAAGCATATCCTCCATGCTCTGAAATGTATGCTCAAAAGCTGGTACCGGCAGCGTTTTCGTTACTTAGCACCCTTGCACAACTTGCGCCCTGACGACTGGGTACACACCATTGCACAAGGTGATAAGCAGGACGTTCGTCGAGTGGTCCTCTGACCAGCAGTCGCACAGGTGCGCGGGGATGTACGGCGGCAGCGGCACGGGGACGTAGCGCCGTTCCCGGCGGCGAGCGAGTGATTCCTTTGCGCGAGGGCCGGAGGTGGAAATACCGCCGCACCTAGTTTCATGGAATGTATCTGGGTCTTCTGCGCAGTGACCTCAACACGCTCGCCGGACGTGGCTCGGGCGCGCGGGCTAGTATCTCGCACAGACCGATTTCTGCTGAGAGGGGCACACCCTGTATTTCTGCGCTTGCATGGACTGTGTTCATGACGGCCTCCACTGGGTTCTCCAGGAGCAACTTCAGGCTGTTTTATAACTCGAGTAAGCCAATTGAAAGGGTGGAGGTCCGGGGGTGCATACCATGGAGGCAACCGCCAGCCGCCGCGCTTCGTACATCGCAGGCGGGGGGATGTACGAGATTTCGTCAATGGGATGAGATTCCGACATGGTCAGGGAGGACTCTGGCAGTTGTTGCCTGGCTAGCTTGGCCTTGAACACGTCAATTGCGCTGGTCAGGGTATCGAGGAGGCTAGATATCTCTGACATCTCTGAGATTGAATACATTATGCCTCCAGAACACAGGTTTTGTTAGTGAGTGTAGGGAGTGGTTAGCATTCCAAGCCTGAGGAGTTGTCTGTATGTGGCGACAGTGACCTATAAGCATGCCACTCTAAGTGCCGCATGAAAAGCCGGTGTGCCTTCTGATCCTTTGCAAGGATAGACCAGTCTAAAGACGCCCAGGGGTAGAGCCTTCTCGGAGACTCGGACAAGGTAACACGGCATGCTAGGGTCCTAGTTCAGCGCATCTGGGTCAGAGAGCCGAGGAGAAAGGCAGTTGATACCCGCAAACCCTATATATGCAGTGTATCGGAGAGCAGATGACGCACCACGACGCATTTCTGTGCAGAATCACAGAAAATTTGCTCACTGTTCTATCTTGCACCAGTATTGACTTATGCCAAGGATTAACGGAGGGCCCTGATCCGGAAACCCGCTCCATGACGGCGCCGAGACTTACCATTAACTGTTGTACTGTTTGAGCACTTTTCTGAGGTGTATGCAGGGACGGGCTTGTGCCGTGCGAGATGAATCATGGAGGGTGACAGAGCTCGCTTTCGCCGAGAATCTCTCACTTAGCATCCAGCGGCTTCGTGTCGAGGATCTCCACTATGATCCTTCGTCCATGAAGGATCACGACGCGGAATGTCATCGTACTTCACATCTGCCATTCCCGTACGTGCTTGGTCAGCCCATATTCTTCGAGTCTATCACAAAGGTGATCGGAGTGAAGGGTGGATAACTTACAGTACGGCGATTACAGCCATTATCTCCCCCGTTTGGTCGGATTAGAAGAGGCGTTGTTCCCGGAATCTGGGAGCATAGCGCACCGAGCGGGAACAGCGTTAGCGCGGGAATTGCTGGACAAAAGAGTGGTGAATAGAAACGGCAAGTTCATAAAACGTGCACAGAGTATTTGCGATCCGGGATCCCATTCACGGTTGGGCGGGCGTATCTCGCATCGGTTAATCGTATTTCGTGTCAGTATATGCGCTGGACGCGTGCAGAAGAGATGTGATCAAAATATCTCAACCTGCAAATTAGATCTACACATCTGACGGGGTACCGCCCAACACTGGCATACTCTCAACTGACTTCCACTTCCGTGACCTGAACGTAACTCCTGCCATGGCGTGTTGGGCAACTCCTGGGCTCATAGGCGCGTGCTTACCTTGTAGCATTGACTTTCTTGATCTTCATGCCAGCGCGACTAAGCATATCTTCCATGCTCGAATAAGTGCGCTCGAAAGCTAGGAAATGATACGCTCGTCTCAGTGCATCTGACAGTAACTGAAGACGTACCATTGCACAGGGCGATAAGGAAGACGTTGGTAGTATAGGCTTCCATCCAATTATCGCCGAAGCCACTTGGAATATAGGGAGGTGGCGGCGCAGGGCGGTATTGACCCTCCCCTTGAAGCGCGGCGAGCGAGTCCTTGGCGTTCGGACCTTCCGATGACAGCGTCGCTGGTGAAAGCAATGGGTCGATGATAAGTAAAGTGCTCTGCGATAAACAGATGTCAAGCGAAAAGTCTGGACAGCTCCAACATATATGATACCTTGCCGTCGAGGAGGCATTCCCTGATCTGCCTCAGGATTTTCGCGCTATCTTCAGAGTTCCAGTCGTGGAGCACTGCAATACCGGCAATAAAGGAGGGTGCTACGAGCAATATGAGACGAGACGGACCTTTCTGAAGAACGAAGACATAGCTGCCTGTTCCCTGGCGCCTGTTGGGCTCAAAGAAATTCTGAGACTCGAACGTGACGCGATCCGATAGACCTTTCGAAATTATGTACTTTTCCGCTGATTCTCGGACGGCCGGTATGTCCTGTACCACGAAGCACTTGATCTCTGGATGACTAACGGTACGGCGGACCCCATGGATCAGGCGGGGTTTCGACTAGGTAACAACCCAAGACCTACGCCGCGGCCAATGAGCACGCTAGAGTACCCTGTCCACCTCCGACATCCACTACAGCGTCCTTGCCCTTGACATATTCAACCCAGGGGAAATCGTGCAGGACCGCATTATCGGAGCAAACTCCCAACCCACCCATCCTGAGAGCGGTGAGGTTCCCATAAATAAGCGTGCATCAAATCATACCTACCCTAGCGCGAACTTCCGAGCCTCATCTGGGTACTTCGCAGTCCAGCTTTCGGCCCCGAGGAAAGGCAGGTCAGTGTCATAAGCAAGGTTCCAAGCGGTGTGCGTAACATCCGTGGCCATTCGGAAAGACTCGTCGGGGTGCGTGAGCGCCTCTGGCAGCTTGCCGAAAGTTCTGTACTGCCAGTCATACCTACAAATTTCACCCCCATCAGAATCCCCACGTTATGGCAATGCCGAAACGCGGCCTCACATGTATCTGACCACGCAGTAGGAGGGCGTGTCCTTCTTCAATGCGTGGCTCCGCCGGGTGTTGGCAAAGTAGCCCGGCTTCGTCTCGCGAAACCATCCTCGGTAGGCGAGGAAGCGCAGGACGCCATCTGCGTGCAAGTGAGCTGTGGGTTGAGTAGCCCCGAACGTACCGTACCTAGCTTCATAGGATGCATCTTGGCCTTCTCAGCGACCACCGCGACGCATTCGCCCACGTCTCGCTGAGGCGCGCTGTCCAATATCTCACAGAGCCCAATCTCGGCCGACAGGCGCACACCCTGTATTTCCGCGCTCTCTCTGACCGTGTTCGCGGCGGTCTCCACCGGATTCTCGAGGAGCAGCTTCAAGCTGTTCTATATTGATATGAGTAAGGCGGGGAGGACGTTAGGCTCCGGTGTACGCACCAAGGAGGCCAGTGCTAACCGCCGCGCCTCGTACATCGCAGGCGGGGGAAGGTACGAGACATCATCGATGGGATGAGGCCCCGACATGAATAGAGAAGGCTCTGGCAGCCGTTGCCTGGCTAGCTCGGCCTTAAACACGTCGATCGCGCTTGTAAGGGTCTCCAGCAAACTGGAGATCTCGGAGACTGGCGCCATTATGCCTGGGGAACAGGACCGTCTTTGAAAAGGGTTCCTTACCACGAGGAGGGGCGAGCGGTTCTTGGGACTCGGATGCCTCGCGACGATACCGTGAGCTATATGTAGGTCCCTCCAAAGTGCCAAAGAGCAAGTCACGCCATAACCTTGATTGCAAGGTGGTCCCTTGCAAGAATAGAGCAAATAAAGGTTCCAGGGGAGGTAATTGCCATCGGCAGACGCTGTGAACGAGATCTCCTAGATGTGGGGAGTAAATGCAGAACTTGAGCTTCCTGTTATCCAGAATAAGGAGACCATATGTGCATTGGTAGCTTCTTCGGCGTCTGATGAGCATGGTGAGTAGCGTGTACTGAGTCTTGACCTGGATAAGAAGCTCCAGGATTAACACAGTCTGACGTGCCTAACATTCAGTGTTAGCACCACAGACCGGAAAGATTACCTGTGAGAAAGTTGGAATGAATATAGAAGACGCAGGCGGATGTGATGCAGACATCTTAGGGGGAAGGCTGAAAGCCGAACCCTTTCCTGATCTTTGAACGAACCGCTGGACGAAAGAGTAATGAATAGCCAGAGCAAAGAAGGCGAAGCGGAGTATTCATAAACGTGCACGGCGTATACAAAGATTGGCAGCATCTAAATCACAATTGGGTGGACGTATCTTGCATGTGACAATCGTTACTCTTGTCAACATACGCGCTAAACGCGCGCACGAAGAAATAAGCGATCAAATGCATTTAACCTGCAGACTGGATCCACGCATCGGGCGGGGGTGTCGCCGGACATACTTTCAACTGACTTCCACTTCCGTGATCTGAACGAAACTCCTGCCGCGCCATATTAGGTCAGGACAACCCCGCTCGCGGGCGCGTGCGTACCTTATAGCATTGACTTTTCTGATTTTCATACCAGCGCGACTAAGCATATCTTCCAGACTCGAATAAGAGTGCTCGAAAGCTAGGAAACGAAAGGCTCGGTCTCAGTACATCTGACAGTGACTGAAGACGTACCATTGCACAGGGCGATAAGAACGACGTTGGTAGTATAGGCTTCCATCCAATTATCGCCAAAGCCACTTGGAATATACGGAGGAGGCGGTACAGGGCGGTATTTACTCTCTGCGTGAAGTGCTGCGAGCGACACCCTGGCACTGGGACCTTCCGAGGAAATAGTTGCAGGCGAAAGTAACGGGTCGATGATAAGTAACGTGCTCTGCGATATCAGCCTGTCAAGGGAAGTTTTTGATTAATCCAGGTGTATAATACCTTGCCGTCTAGAAGGCATTCCCGGATCTGCCTCAGGATTTTGGCGCCATCTTCAGAATTCCAGTCGTGGAGCACTGCGGTGGAGAGAAGTAAGAGAGGATGGTACGAACGACAGGAGACGCAGCGGACCTTTCTGGAGGATGAAGACATAGCTGCCTGTTCCTTGGCGCCTGTTAGGCTCGAAAAAGTCTTGCGACTCGAATTTGACGCGATCTGATAGACCTTTGGAGCTTATGTACTTTTCCGCGGACTGTCGAACGGCTGGTATGTCCTGCACTACGAAGCTCGTAATCTCTGGATGGCTAATGAAACCGTGGGGACAATGCATCAGCGGGTCTATTGGCCAGGCAACAGCCGAAAACCTACGCTGCGGCCAATGAGCATGCCAAAGTGCCCTGCCCACCTCCGATATCCACAACGGCGTCCCTGTCTTTGGCAAATTCAACCCAGGGAAAATCATTCACGACCCCATTATCGGAGCACGCTCCCAGGCCACCCATGCTAGGAGCGGTCATGAGGAAGTCCAACGGGCGAATGTTCATTAATTTTCATACCCTAGTGCGAACTTCTCAGCGTCCTCTGGATATTTCGCAGTCCAGCTCGCGGGCCCGAAGAAAGGCAGGTCGGTGTCATAAGCAAGGTTCCATGCGGTGTGCGCAACATCCGTGGCCATCCGGAAAGACTCGTCGGGGTGCGTGAGGGCCTCTGGCAGCTTGCCCATAAACCTGTACATCAGATCATAACTTTCTTCTCGTCAGACACACATCACGCCGCCGAAACGCAGGCTGAGCCTCACATGTATCTGACCGCACAGTAGCCGGGAGTGTCCCGCCTCAGCGTCTGGCTCCGGCGGGTGTTCACAAACTGTCCCGGCGCGACTTCGCGCACCCACCCGCGGTGCGCGAGCAAGCGCAGCACGCCCTCTGCGCAAACGTCAGCAGCAGCGCACAGACACCGCGGCGAGCCACCGCACCCAGTTTCAGCGGATGCATCCCGGTCCGCCGCGCGACCTCCGCGACGCTCGCGCCCCCGCCGCCGGCCAACAGCTCTGGCAGCCCGATCTCCGCCGCCAGGCGCACGCCCTGGATCTCCGCGCTCTCCCTGATCGTGTTCACGGCGGCCTCCACCGGGTTCTCCAGGAGCAGCTTCAGGCTGTTCTGCGATGCGGGTGAGCGCTGGGAGCAGCGCGCGCGAGTCTTGCCAGTCGACGTACCAGGGAGGCGATGGCGAGCCGCCGCGCTTCGTACATCGCAGGCGGGGGTACGTACGAGGCGTCATCGATGGCGTGAGGCTCCGACATGAGCAGGGAAGGCTCTGGCAGGCCTTGCTGGACTAGCTCGGCCCTGAACACGTCAATCGCGCTGGTTAGGGTGCCCAGCAGGCTGGCGATTTCTGAGGCTGATGCCATTTTGCTTGAGGAAAACAACGCCGCGAGCAGGGGGCCTATGACTTTGGAGGACTCTCTGCGCTCTGCGATGAGGTGGGCTATAAGTAGGCCGCACGCGGGAAGCAAGGGAGCGGTGACCTTCGTGGCCTTCTCATTCTCGCAAGAATAGAGTGATACGAAGATGCCCACGAAGAAGCGTCTCGGGGGTTTGGAGGCAGCGGCATGACACACCATGGCTGCTCGTTCAGCGCCTCCGGCGAGGGCGAGGAGGCGAGGATGCGAGGTAATTGGCTCTGGGCAGCGCCTGCAGAAGACGATTACGATGCGCTAGGGTCAGCAATCTATCAGAACAGGTGAAGCGTCACCATACATGCGCGTCCGTAGAATTAGAACTAACACCTTGCTTACACTGGACCCTTGCACGAAGTTTGACTGCGGCTAAAAGCCCCAGGATGGAACAGTAATCCAGAAGCATGGGCAGCCGGTCCGCCGCGCCTTGCGGATGTGCTGAACAACCCACTTGGCTTCCTAGCGCCGCGTCCTGGTGCACCCACCGCGAGCCCAAGGGGCAGGCTCGCAGGCACCCAAAAGGCCACCCCACACGTCCGGGACGGCACCTGCGCCGCGTCGGCGTACATGCTGATCAGCGGCTTACCGTGACGAGCAGGAGGAGGAGGAGGGTGTCCACATGCGCGCGGGGGCGTGGGCGGGGACGCCCGTGCGATAGGCTGTCGTGCGCGCGGCCCATCACGAACGCAGCGCAAAGGGAGAGCGGCCAGGCGCCAGGGACGGCCTGTCGCGCCGCTCTGTTGAAGGGCGGTTAGGCGCCTGTGGGCGAGGAGAGTCCCGATGCGGCGCGTGGATGGTCGATAACGTGGCAGCAGACAGGAGCAGAGTGCGACACCCTGGCTCGAAGGACATGGAGTGCAGCTGTACAGGATATTGCAGATCCTGACGGTCCGCCCTCTCGAACTCCGTTGTGAACGCTCACCTACATGTTTACCTCCCTCCGTCCCCTTCCCCACCGCATCACCCTCCCCGCGCAAGTCCGTCCACGCGTAGGATCTCTCCCGCGCTGTCTCATCCAGGCGCTCCCGCGCTGTTCTGCCCGACATACTTACATGGCGTAGGCGGAGAGGAGCGGAGAGCGTGAGCCGCGGAAAGCTGCAAAAAGAACTTGGAGGTTCCTTGTTTCTCTCTCCGCCGCTCTTTCGTCCAGTGATCCTGCGCGCGACTGTTAAAATTACTGAACGTAAGAGCGGGATAGAGGAAGGGACTGGCGTTCGGATGTGTATATGTTTTGTGCAGGTAGAGATCGAGCGAGCTGGGATGTAGCTACACGGTCGGTACATGCGCTAGCGGGGATATGGAAACGGTGAAATAAATCAGGACGTCCTTAGCACATAAGATGTGGAATGCAGTGGTATATCCTATGTCGCAGATTCTGGGCGCTGCTACTTCCGCTACACCATCACTGACTGGTAACATGAATTAATCCACACGACCCTCTGCAATTCGATGAACACTCACCCCGAGTCCTCCCCCCCCCCACCCTCCACCCGTTCGCCCCTGTCCGCCCACACCAGGCCAAACAAAGCTGAGTCGCAGCTCACGCGCTCGCGCCCTGCTTCTGCCCGACGTACTTCGCGTTGACGGCGAGGAAGTGGTACGCGAGCACGGTGAGCATCGCGCACGCGCCGAGCGAGTTCGCGAGGCCGTACAGGGTCTCGTGGCTGATCATCTCTTCGCGCTCTTTCTGTTCGACCTGTGTGTCGCATCCCGGTGAGCTTTGGGTGGGGAAGGAGGGCAGGTGCGGGACGTACGTGGGTGGTGGTGATGGTGGTGGTGGTAGTGGTGGTACAGATACAGCGCAGCCGTGACGTAGCACTTCGCTTCTGGCTTCGCCGGAGAACCCCGGAATCGGTGTCCGTCATTTATTCCTCCTCTGCACAACTCCTCTAGTCCTCTACTTACTCTACGGTACTCTACCTCCCGCGTATTTATCAAGATGCGGCCCTCGATTGTGGTTAGGAGCGAGATGCCCGGTCGTGAGTCGTCGCTGTCTTTGTTGAGTTGACGAAGAGAGTGAAGGGCTGATTGGTTTGTTTGGCGGGTGTAGCTAAGACCTACGTGAGTCCTAGTCTAGTGGTATCGAGGAAGAACAAGAGGAGCTGATGTCGTGTGCTGCTCTTAGAACCCCTGGTGGGGCGACCTGAGCGGGATCCAGCGGCAGAAGGGCATCACGCAGTACTGTACGTCCCGTCCCTCTCGCCCCGCCCACACCGGAAGTTAACTTGCTGCTGGGGCGACAGCGCTGTCGCCGTTCAAGCAGCGCGCGGCGAAGCACCTTATCCAGAACTACATCTTCAACGGGTACAGGCGGCTCGCGGAGCAGGTGCCGTACTGGATTGTGCCGTTTGCCATTGGTGAGCATGCGCTCTGCTCTGGGTGACAAGTTCTCGCTGATATTGGAACTCGTAGGCTACGGGACGTACACGTGGGCGAAGCGGTACGACGAGTGGCTGAACAGCAAGGCGGGGCATCTGGCGACTGGCGGCGGAGGCCACTGAGTGTTGCTGCTATATGCTATTTTTCGTGGATAGATGGACGCTAATAGAAGCTTCCTGTTTGTCTTGTCTTGTAATGCGAATTCGCTCATCGGCTATTTGCGTACGGACCGGGACATGTTATGCACTGCAAGAGTGCGGGCGTATTGGCGGAGACGTAGGATGTATATAGAGTTGCATCGCACGCTCGGCAAGAGCAATGGCTACGGGCCAAGCGATGGGCGTATACCCGAGTAGACAGCCTATGCGTCCCTTGCCGTCGTCCCTCCCGTCGTCGACGCCCGTTCTATATCGGTCGAGCCCGACGATGTGACGGGCGTGACCGTGACCGTGGTTGCAGGCTTGCGTTCGCTCACGTCGACTCGGACACGGCGGACTTGTGGTCAGAATCAGCAGATCCAAATACGAATCGACGGCCGAATCGAGCACGCATCTGCTTCCGCTGCCGGCCAAGCAAGCACAACCACCAGCCAGCACCCAGCCCGACAGCCCAATCTCGTCATCGGTTGATCGTTTTCCTGCTGCCCTCGCCCTCGGTAAGTCCCCGCGCCACCCCGCGTCCCGCCCTGACCATGTCCCCCAGCGCCGCCGCATGCCCCCATGAACCCCAACGCCGCCCCCAACGCCTTCTCCTACCCCGGCGCCGGCGGCATTAACCCCGCCCTCCTCGCATCCATGCACGGCGGTGGCGGCGCCGCCCCCGCCCCCGCCCCCGCCCCCGCCGTCCAGCAGCCGGGCAACAAGTTCCCCTACGGTGGCGGCCTCGGCGGCATCAGCCTCAACCCCCAGATGTTCCAGCCCGGCGCCGGCCCCGCCGCGGGCCTCATGAGCTTCACGCCCCAGCAGTACCAGCAGCTCGCCCAGATGAAGGCCATGGGCATGCGCGCGCCGGGCAACGTCAACATGAACCCGAACATGAACGCGATGCAGCCCCACCAGCAGCAGCAGCAGTCGTTCCCGCCGGGCTTCGCGATGGGCCAGCCGCAGCCGCACGACGCCCAGCCCCCGTTCTTCAACGAGCGCAGGCCGTCCTCGAGCGCGTCGCACTCGTCCGCGCACATGCCGCAGGTACGCGTTCACCCATCCATCCCATTCACTTTGCTCAGCTCTGTATCTACAACGACGCAGAATATGAACCCCAACATGTCCATGTCCATGCCCCCGCCCGCCTCCGTGCCCCCGCGCCCGCCGACCGCCGCCCCGCCCTCGCGCCCGCCCACGCAGTCGCCGTACCACGGCGTCAAGCGCAAGCTCCCCGGCGCGGGCGCGGAGAGCCCGCGCCTCGGGATGGGGCACCCGGGGCAAGGCGCGAGCGTGAATGGCGCGCCGCAGACGCCGCGCGTGGGGTCGGCCGGCCCTGGTCCTGGTACGCCTGCGAATGCGAGTGGTGGGGTGGGCATGGGCATGAATATGAATATGAATATGGTGCCGGGTGCTGGTGGCGTAGCGGGAGGGCTCCCTGGAGAGATTAAGCGCCAGCCCTCGGGCGCGCCCGACGGGATGTTCGCGCAGAAGAACGCGTCCGGGCCCGCAGGGACGAGCGCCCCCGCGCCGCGCCCCGCAGCGAACCCGCCGCCCGCGCTCCCGCGCCCCGTCTCGCTCAACCCCGCGACCACGCGCGTGACCGTCGTCCCCCTCGCCGGGTCCGACGCCACCATCCCCGCGCTCTCCCAAGCCGAAATCGAGAAAGTCAAGGAGTGGATGCAGGTGGATAAGGAGTATGAGGAACGGCTGCGCGGGATGAAGGGAAGGATGGAGCTGGAGGTGCGCGAGGGGTGGGTGAATGGCGTGAGGGAGGTGGGCGGTGTGAATGGGAGTGTGGGCCGGGCGGCGTGGTGGGAGAAGGATGGTGCGCCCGGGGCGGGCGGGAGGAGAAGGGAGAAGTTTGGGATTACGTACCCCAAGAGTGGGAAGGAGGGGCGGAGGAAGGTCGGGAGGCGGGAGGGGATGAAGCTGTGAGTGGTTTCTTCTTGTTCTTGTTTTGGGTTTGGTTGCGGTTGGGTGTGTGGTGGGACGGAGTGCTTATATGCGCGTGCAGGCCGCGCAAGATCGACCCGCGAGACGCGGACCGCCCGGAGCAGCTCGTGCCCATCCGCCTCGAGTTCGACGTCGAGCACCACAAAATGCGGGACACGTTCGTCTGGAACCTCAACGGTACGTCCCTCCCCTTCCCCTTCCCTCCCCTCCCTCTCCTCCGATTCCACCAATACTAAAAACACACGTACGCAGACCCGGTCGTGACCCCGGAGCTCTTCGCGCAGTCCGTCGTGGACGACTATGCCCTCCCGCAGGCGTACCACGGCGTCATCACCAAGTCCATCCAGGAACAGCTGAGCGACTACCAGGCGCACGCCGCCGGCGCAGAGGCGGCGGAGGCGCTGCGCGGCCGCCTGGACGGAGAGGAGGCCGCGTGGTGGGAGAGCTGGCGGAAGCGCCTGCGCACTAGGGGGGGATTCGTGAGGAAGGGCAAGAGGAAGGAGGAGGGCGAGGGCGAGGGGGATGTGGGACGGGCGTATAAACTGGACGAGCTGGAGGTGGGGGAGGAGGGGGCCAGGGAGGAGATGAGGATTGTTATCAAGGTGAGCTGGAAGTGTTGTGTTGTGTGCGTGAGGGGCGGGCCTGATTGTGATTGGTAGCTGGATATTATTGTGGGGAGTATCAAGCTCGATGACCAGATTGAGTGGGATCTCAATAATGAGAATGCGTCCCCTGAGCACTTTGCGGAGGTGTATGGGAAGGAGCTGGGGCTTGCTGGGGAGTTCATGTGAGTTTTATTCTGTCTACCAGCTTTTCCAACGAGTCGATCCGACTGTTACTTCTGCAGCACGGCCATCGCCCATTCCATTCGTGAACAAATTCAGACATTCCAGAAATCGCTCTTCCTCGTCGGCCACCCCTCCGACGGCTCCGCCGTGCAGGACGACGACCTGCGCATGACCTTCCTCCCGCCGCTCGCCTCCGCCGCGCGCGCGCTCGACCAAGTGCCCGCCTTCACGCCCACGCTCAACTACCTCGACGACAGCGAGATCGAGAAGAGCGAGCGCGAGCGCGAGAAGGAGGCGACGCGCCGGCGCAAGCGCAACACGCGCGGGCGGCGCGGCGTCGCGCTGCCCGACCGCGAGCCGCTGCGCACGTACCGCACGCCCGCGCTCGGGTTCCCCGAGGTCGACGCGGCGACGCTCGCGGCCGCGGCGATGGCGAACGTGCCGACGAGGCGCGCGGCCGCGGCCGCGGCGTCGCTGACGATTGCGAATATGGTCGCGTCGGAGAACGGGACGATCGTCGCGACGCCGCAGATGCCGGTTAGTTTGCTGCCGTCGGCGGCGGGGAGGGAGGCGAAGGAGAAGAAGGCAAGGGGCTTGTTCAAGCCGCCCGAGCTGCCGCCGGCTGCGTTCAGACCACGCGCGAAGGTGAAGGCGCCCACGGAGTCGACGGCGATGGATACGTCGCTCCTGCCGCCGCCATTGGAGAATGATCCGCCGGTATCTACTGCGGGCTCGGGCCCGCCGGATAGCAGGATGTCGGTGAAGCCTGGGAAGGTAAAGACTGCCCGCGAGCTGGAGAGGGAGGCGAAGGAGAAGGAGTATGCGGACGGGCAGCATCCCAATTTCATTGATGGCGTCTGGCATTGCTCGAACTGCGGCTGTCCTGAGAGTATCGCTGTCGGCAGGAGGAAGGGGCCGCTGGGTGACAAGACGCAGTGCGGGCAGTGTGGTGAGTGTTCATGCTTCTTTGTTGGGGGTTTGCTGATAATGTTGTTGCGCTCTAGGTAAATTCTGGCACCGGCATAGACGACCCCGGCCGGTCGATTACAATAGCAGCGCGGAGTACCATCGCAACCTGATGGAAGAGGCGGAGCGAGCCAAAGTGATGGCACGCAAGAAAGGAGGAGCGGCAGCACTACGCGCGATGAGTACCGCCACTGAGCAAGATCCACCGCCTAGCGCCGGGCCCTCTGGTTCCAGCTCGCGACCTTCCAGGCCGAACTCCGTCGCGAGAACGGGTGGTCGAGCGCAGTTGTGGGTAGAAGTGCCCCCTCCGCAGACGCCTGTTACTGCCGGGGAAGGGGAGGATGACAGCAAGGACGCGATATCGCCGATATCGAGCGGAAGCTCGAGTGCATCGGAGTCGCCGCTCGCTCATAGGATCCGGCCCAATGGAGTCAATCATTCCAACCAATCGTCAACACCCGCGCCCAGACCGACGTCGACTGCAGATGCGCAGGGTTCTGTCGTCTCGTCTCAACCGCCCTCGGCGCACCCGAAGCCTCCCTCTTCAAACCATAATAATGTTTCGGTGAGTCTGTTGAGATATAGTAGGCCAGGCAATAATTTATTGTATCCTAGACGGAACCGCCTGAGTGGCTCTCCGCTGCCATGCAAGCGATGCGGGAGCGATATCCTCAGGATCGCTTCGAGACTATCCTCAAAAAACTGAATCCAAATGCGTCACCGGAATGGCGCATCAAGTGTCTGGACTGTCCGGGCAAGGTATGTGGGTCGCTATACTGCTGCTGTCTGCGTCTGACCATCGCCTTAGCTGTATACCCCTGGCCCGGGTGAAACCCTCTCAAATTACGAAGTCCATCTGAAGAATAGACAGCATCGACAACGGGTGACTAACCGCGTGAACGAGTCGTCTACATCATAGATGTCGGACGTTGTATATCCGTTAGTACAAGCCTGTGTGATATTTTCCGCTGTCTCGTTATTACTATCAGCTGCTGTTGTTTGCATTGTTCGGGCTGTGACCGCTGTCATTGTATTGTTATTCGGATGTATATCTACAGCCTTATTGCATCGTATTGTTGGATAAAATTAGCACCCTATCCTCGTCGTGATCCTACTAGGCCACACCTTCGAGCTTACCCGGGTCGTCAAAGTGTGGCACGCTAGTCTCGTTCCCAGACCTCATAGAGAGCACTGGGAGTGATCTGGGAAGGAGAGTACAAAGTATCGCGCTGAGCTCCGCGGCTTCAACTCCGCGGTTGTATCCTAGCTTCCCTCGAAACTTCGAAGTTCGGATATGCTTCTGCTACTACAGCTGCTATTCGGCAACTTTGATATCTAACGCCTACCAGCACATATGTATTCCGTCGCCAGTGGTCAAACGGTGTACCTGCAGACGTCTCTCTTCGCGGCTGGTCGTCATCCATCGGATATACAGGTATTCGACAATAAGTGGTAGGCCTAGGTCATAACCATCCTCTTATACGTCCACACTCCAGAGCTCAAAAGACAGGTCTACAGTTACACCCTGCACTAGCCTAGGTGATGGTGATGGGAATCTGTTTGATCCTCGTCCTCCCAAATGTCAAACCGAAGTACATTGTAGGGCCACTCTGCTGCCCGAGGTTCCCTGCCTCTGGATCCAGGCTATCTCTAAGCTGCTCTATTCTTACAAGAGGTCATAAGACAGACGAACCATGCTTTATCTTGCTCTCCAAAGCTCGGCCCGAACATAGAAGGCTCTACTTATAGCTCAAGATATCGCGAGGTAGAGGAATGCTCGTCAGAAAAGATCCGGGTGACTGGTACCTGCTCATACCAGCAGGGCAATCGGAAGCACTATGCAGTCACCCGGGAGAGTCGCCCTCGTGTTCGTTAAAGACCGAGCTCAGACTCAAGGAAGAGACAAATTCTCCCTTCCGAGTCCCTCTCGGGACAGCCAGCTATTCCATCGCACAGGAACTAAAACTCCCCACTAGCAGGGATAATGACATCAGTTTCAGAGATCTCTTGCCTTTTGGGTACTCTCACAAGCGCGATCGAGGTGTTCAAGGCCGAGCTAGCGAGACAACGTCTGCCGGAGCCGTCTCTTTGTACGTCTAAGCCTCATCCCATCGACGACCTCTCGTACATTCCGCCGCCTGCAATGTATGAGGCGAGGCGGATAGCGATCGCTAGCTTAGTCAGTATACGAGTGTTCAGTCGTCCTTGCCTTACATCTTTTACCCCACCGTAGAACAACTTGAAACTGCTCCTGGAGAATCCGGTTGAGGCCATTGTAAACACCGTCCGGGAAAGCGGGGAAATACAGGGCATGCGCCTCACTGCAGATATTGGCTTACATGAAGTATTAGATGATGTTCCTGATCCAGAGGTGGGCGAAAGCATCGAAGTTATTGCGAACAAGACGAAGATTCATCCAATGAAACTCGGTAGGGCAGCCCTTCTCATGGACATGCACTATTATTAACTACGTTAACATAGAGGGCGTCTTGCGTTTCCTCGCTTACCGAGGATGGTTTCGTGAAACCAAACCAGGATACTTCGCAAACAATCGCCGGAGCCACACATTGAAGATGGACACTCCGGGGTATCGCATCGTGAAATACCTGTAAGTTAGTCCTTTATGCGTCTTCGCGATAGGTCTCATCAGATCCGAAGCGGCAACTTAACATTCAAGAACATGGGGAAGTTACCAGAAGCCCTGACCCACCCCGACGCATCGTTTCGAATGGCCACCGATGTTGCGCATACTGCGTTCAATCTTGCTTACAATACCGATTTGCCTTTCTTCGGGTCCGAGAGTTGGACTGCCCAACACCCGGATGAGGCTCAGAAATTCGCGCTCGGGTATGAGCTCCTCTATCTACCCTTTACATTATCCTCATGGTCCCCTATAGGATGGGCGGTTTGGGAGTTTGCTCCGACAATGGAGTAGTACACGATTTCCCCTGGGTTGAATATACCAAGGACGCCGTCGTAGATATCGGAGGCGGGCAAGGCACCTTAGCTTGTTCTTTGGCGGCGGCGTAGGCTTTCCATCAGGATTTGGCCTGGTGAATATGCAAGCTCATCCTGAGTCCCGTTGTCCTTTCAGTCATGGAGAAATCAATAATTTCATTGTTCAAGACCTACCAGTTACTCGAGAGCCGGCGGAGAAATACATAGCATCCAAAGGTCTATCAGCTCGGGTCAGGTTCGAGGCACAGAATTTCTTTGAGCCAAACAGGCGCCAGGGATCGGGCAGCTATGTTTTCGTTATCCAGAAAGGTCTGCTGTATCTCCTATTTCCTCAGCGTATCCCTTCATTACTTCATACCGCAGTGCTTCATGACTGGAACTCCGAAGACGGCGCCAAAATCCTGAGGCAGGTTCGGGAGTGCCTTTTGGACGGCAAGGTATTATATGCGCTGGAGTTCTCCAGGAGTCTCTTCTGACAGATATTTATGACAGAGCAAGCTACTGATCATTGACCCCTTGCTTTCGCCCGCCACATTGTCTCGGGAAGGACTCAGTGCCAACGAGTCGCTTGCCATGCTCCAAGGAAAGAATCACTACGACCCCGTACCACCACCACCGTTCATACCAAGAGACTTTGGTGACAATTGGATGAACGCCCACTCCACCAACGTCGTTCTCATTGCCTTATGCAACGGTACGTTTGTAGTGCTTAGTGAGTGCGCTTTGAGCATACCTGAGGTCTTCTGTTACCAGCTTTTGAGCACACATACAAGAGTATGAGTGATATGCTTACACTTGCTGGTCTGAAAATCAAGAAAGTCAATGCTACACGGTGAGCATCCGCCCGTGACTCTAGGAGTTTCTCGGGCTTAGTACGAGGCGGAAGGGGTTATGTCCAGGTCACAGAAGTCGAGGTCAATTGACAGCGTATTATTCCTCCCTAGACATGTAGACCCGCATCCAGAGTTAACTGTGTGCCGCAGTCGAGGGGGCGTATACAAAGATTGTCCCTCTATTCCTTGAGGTAGCGGCCGCGGAGCCTAAATAACCTTTTCCACTTCCTCCAGCCTAGTCAACGTGTGATAAGGACTCTCCCTAATATAGCGCGAGGTCTATCCCCTGTCCAGAATGGATCATGACAGCTGTCTGCTTACGCTCTGGTGAGTAATCTCAGTAATATTCTTAGTATATATAAGCCTGGTGGAGAGTCCAGACTACTCACGTACCAAATTCCGACAAGCAATCATCTCCTGACCTCGAAGTGAACTTCAGGAAGGTACGTACTGCTTTATGGTTTCTATGTTTCTCATCTCTCGCGTCTTTCGAGGCAGTGTCTCTGATGTCCGCACTAAATCCAACACGCAATCCGATATTCGCGTTTGATTAGTGCCACTCCCATAGCTTGTCCTTCAACATATTGACTATGGGCGTGTGGATATCTGCATCCAGAAAGCGATTTGAAGACATCGGATGACTGATGACATTTAATGAATCCCGTATTCTGATTCAGAAGCACGGAGTGCGGCGTAATGCGATGATCTTTGACTTGGATATAAGGTGTGCCGTTCCTTTAATAAGACTACCTCTCAAGCCATATAGGCGGCATCCGGCATCCCTGCTGCCCAAACCGATATCATTTCCACTCTACCTGCAATGTCTTCCACCTCAGAAATCTCCAGCCTTCTGGAGACCCTGACAGCCTCCATCGAGGTGTTTAAGGCTGAATTAGTGAGGCAACAGCTTCCGGAGCCCTCTTTGCGTACGTCCAAGCCTCATCCAATAGATGATCCCTCGTACATCCCGTCACCTGCGATGTATGAGGCGCGTAGGCTAGCGGTCGGTAGCTTGGTAAGTAATGGCTTGGTTCCATCACAGTTACCCTGACTCAGGCTTGTAACGCAGAATTGCTTGAAGCTTATCATTGAGAATCCGGCGGAGGCTGCGCTGAGCATTCATGCGGACATCGAAGAAGTCCAGGGTTTGCGCGTGTCTACTCAGGTCGACTTACATCAGGTACTGGAAAGTGCGGCCGATCCGGACTCGGGCGAAAGCATTGAAACCATCGCAATCAAGACAAAGATACATCCTCTCAAACTAGGTAAGGTCGCTCCGTCGGCGGACGTCCGCGCCAGCTGAATGATGACTTACATTACTGCAGGGGCTGTCTTGCGTTTCCTCGCCTACCGAGGATGGTATCGTGAACCTAGGCCGGGTCATTTCGCGAACAGTCGTCGCAGCCACGCACTGAAGAAAGACAGCCCCGGATATCACGTTGTACATAACCTGTAAGATAAAGGCCGCCTTACTGGGCTTGTGATGTCTGACAAGTCGAAAGGTGTGACCTTGGTTATAAGTACACAGCGAAGTTGCCCGAGGCCCTGACTCACCCCGACGAATCCTTCCGCATGGCTTTGGATGTCACGCATACTGCATTCAACCTTGCATACGACACCGACCTACCTTTCTTTGGACCCGAGAGCTGGACCTCTAAGTATCCAGCTGATGCACAGACATTCGCGCTTGGGTACGTATTCGAAGTGCCATCCGTCACAGCCTCCTGACTCCTCGCTAGGATGGGTGGCATGGGAGCTGGCTCTAACAATGGAGTTGCCTACGATTTTCCTTGGGTTGACATTGCTAAGGACAAGGACGCCGTTGTGGATGTCGGAGGAGGACAAGGCACCTTGTGTTGCACATTGGCTGCAGCGTATGTGTCTCAGTTCCACAACCGTATCCCAGATGAATAATTGATATTGCTCGTACCTCCAGCCATCCAGAACTGAAGAACTTTATAGTCCAAGACATTCCAGCCCTTCAAGGGCCTGCGGATAAGTACATAGCATCCCAAGGTCTCTCTGATCGGGTCAAGTTCGAGGTGCAAGATTTCTTCCAGCCCAACAGACGCCAGGGCACAGGTAGCTACGTCTTCGTCATACAGAAAGGTCATCGTCAATAGTGCCATTCCCCAGGGTCTCTGTCTCATCTTTGTATACGGCAGTTCTCCATGATTGGTCGGATGAAGATGGCGCCAAGATCCTGAGACAGATTCGAGAATGTCTCCTCGATGGCAAGGTATTGAAATGCACCAATGTCTGTGCCTACATCTCCCTAATATACTTCACAGAGCTCTCTGGTCATAATTGACCCGGTGCTGTCCCCTGCCACAATTTCTTCTGAAGCTCCCAGTGCCAAAGAGTCTCTCGCGGCGCTTCAGGGCAAGGATCGCTATGAGCCCGTCCAGCCCCCACCCCTGCTTCCGCACGACTTCGGTGACAACTGGATGATCGCGCATACAGTTAACATAGCTCTTCTCGGCCTATGCAACGGTGGGCTCAGCGGTGGTCAAGCCATGACGTCTCCCACTGATTTTTCCTCAAGCATTCGAGCGTACCTATGCAAGTATGGACAATATGCTCACTCTCGCTGGCTTGAGCATCAAGAAAGTGAACGCTACAAGGTAAGTCTGCAGCGCACACTCCGAGAGATGCCTAATACTCATCTCATATGAAGGGGTTACGTGCAGTTAACAGAGGTCGAGGTCAGTTGAAGAGCTCCAGGTTCCTCTGCATAGGAGGTAGATACTTCGATATGCTTCAAAGGGTATGTATAGGTCGAATAGACAATTTTACAGTGATAAATACATGTGTGCTAGTCCAAGATCCTTGTTGGTATCTGAGTATTAATGCAACATAATGTAAATGCAACTACAAGTCACTATATGACAAAGACGATGCAAGAAATGAGCGGATTTGCACTGGCTGCGTGAGGGTGAAGGGGTGTGCAGAAAGCGGTAAACGCCCAAAAATCGTCCATAGTGGCTGAAAGGTCCATGATGCTGCTTGTATGCTGTCATGTATGCAAGCTCCGTCCTACACGAATAGCGCTGTGTCGATGTCTTGCCCAAAGTCAAGGACCACAATCTTCTGGTCATGCGACGTGCTACCGAAAGCATTCCTCGTCAGCTCGATCGCCCCCACTTGGTATGGAAACAGAAACATTACGCACCTCACGATCCTGCTCACATCAAACTTGACGTCGAATATATGGCTGACATGGCTGTTCCTAAACTCGCGCAGCATCCGCCCCGTGCGCAAGTCCCACACCTTCACGGTGCGGTCGTAGCTCGCGCTGACGAGGCGACCGCTCTGGGGGTCGAACGAGAGAGCGCGTACGAGCAGGTCGTGGCCGACGAGCGTGCGCAGGCACTCGCCCGTCGTCGCGGACCACACCTTGATTTTGCAGTCGTTCGAGCCGGAGACGATCAAGTCGTCCTGTTCGTATGAAAGAGTTGTGCGTGAGCATCATGGTATGGCGCGGAAGAGAAAGTCAAGACACTAACCTTGAACTCGATACACGCGAGACCCCGATCGTGGCCCTCGAAGGTCCGGAGGCGTTCCCCGGAGAGAATATCCCAGAGCATCATCTTCCCATCTCCACTGGCGCTGACGACCTTCCCCGCCTGCAGCCCAACGGCGTTCACAGGCCCTTCATGTCCGCGGAACGTAGTGTGCAACGACAGTGTCTCCCGATTCCACACGCGGATCAGAGCATCCTTCGAACTAGGCATCCAGGTCCAGTCTCAGCGCAAACACCCCGCTGGAAGGCAAAAGCCACTCACCAGCTCACAATCCACTCGCCATCAATCCTCAGATCCAACACGCCCCCCGTATGTCCCCTCAACACCGCCTTGACCTCCGCCCTCACCTCGCCATGGGCCAGGCCAGACGCGGCACTCGCCCGCTTCCCTACACCCGCGCCCGCGCTTGACCACAAATCCCACACGCACACCGAGCAGTCGCTGCTCCCGCTGACCATGAACCCCTTGCGCATCCCCGCCTTTTCCTCCTCGTCCGAGAGCGCCCCGACGTCCCAGTCCTTGTCGAACTTGAGGCAGAGCACGCTCCCGGCGTGCCCGCGGAACGTGCCCAGCAGCTTCCCCGTGCGCAGCGACCACACCTTGATCGAACGGTCGCGTGAGCCTGTGATAATCCGTGACGAGTCGAATTCCAGACAGTACACACTAACACCCAGTCAGCCTAGGCGCATAGAAGAAAATGAGAGACTCACCTGTCCGTGTGCCCCGATATCCGCGTCACCCGCGGCTCCCCGCTCGTCCACTTCTTCTCCAGCTCCAGCCGCGCCCTGTACAGCGCTCTCCAATCCAACGACAATGGCGCCAGACTCCCCGGCGTGAGCGTCGCCCCGCTCCAGCTCGGCGCAGACGCAATCGCCGGCACACTCAGCAGCGCCGTCGCCCTCCGCCTCCCCCTTCCCTCTCCCGCACTCACTCTACTCTCTCCGCCAAAGCTTGGTGTTCTGGACACCCACCCGCCTGTGACATTACTGCTCGACCTCGAGATGGCAACGGAGCCGGGGCTCGCGCGACAAACAAAGCGCTGCCCGTCCCACCCGCGCACCCAAGCACGGTCGAGGTCGATCTGCCAGCCGGCCTTCTGGTAGAACAGCTCCTTCCACACGCCGTTGTCCGTCGCGAGCGTGCGCCAGGTGTGCGAGACGCTAAGGCACGCAAGGATCGAGGGGAGGTCGAGGAAGAGGAGGAGGTACAGCGCGATCTCGGGCGGGAGGCGGGAGAGGATGTCTGTGGGGGGCGGTTAGCAGAGTTCGAAGCGGGGCAGGCGATCCCGTGACCAAGGTATCCCCATCGCGACTTCTGATCGAAGAGGGACGGTATGGAAATAAATGCGACAGGGCCTCGCTAGAGACAAAGGAATGGGGCCTGTAACTATACGAGGCTTTACCCCAACCGTGATGGAGCCGATACCGTTACCCCGGCAAGGGAGCTCTCTGAAGGGCATGCCCTGCCGAGGAGGTGAAGAGACGCGGGATGCGATACACGAACCACTGCCAAGATCGATAAGAAAGCCTCACCTATACCAGTCACAGCCAGCGCGTCTATATAGCACGCCTCGTCAATGAGCTCCCCTTCCTCACCATCCAGTGGCGGCAGGTCGCTGTAGTCGAAGGTAGTGACAGTATACGCCGCTTTTCCTTTCCCCTTCTTCCCCGGGGAACTCAGTGCATCCCATATGCGAGGCAGGAAGCCTTTTGCGGAGCGCGAGGGTGATATGCGATCGAAGCGACTCCTGGCTGACGGCGAGGTGAAGAAAGAGCAGCTCTTGTCGTGCTCGTGCCCATAGCCGTAGACATCAATCTGGTGGTCGTCGCTGGTCATCTGCACCATCGAGGTCGGCCGGCTGATGAGCGAGAAGTCCATGGTCGGTGCGGGCGATGACGGGCGGGTGACAGTGAGGTTCCGCGGCACAGCAGAAAAGGCGCCGTCAACCAAGACGACATCGTCGCGTGCGTCTGTGCTGGGGCTGCGCCGGCCCTCAGGCTCGGCGTTTGGGACGTCTGCGGTGGTGACGAAGGGCGACCCAAGGACGGTGCCGAGGAGGCGAGTGAAGCGGGGGGCGTCGGGCTCGTTGTTGCTGGACGTCGAGCTCGATGCGTACGGCGACGACGACGAGCGCGGGAGGGTGTTCCGCAGAGTCTGCTTCGTTGGCAGCCTTTGCGGCGGCGAGGACGATGAGGGAGAGAGCATGGGCGCAGTGGGGGAAGACAAACAAGCCGTCGAGCACTGCAGTGCTGTGGCCGAAACCACAACAATTGAAGGTCCCGTGACGCAATGATAGGAGGTCGGTAGCAGGTTCCCACGCCTCAGGACTCCAGTCACCCCTCCGTTGTCTTGCCGCGTTCGTCCATACAACTTCCCCTTCCCCTTACACTTTGCTTATGCTCTCTGTCCTATGCAAGACTATACCCGAACGCTCCCATTCCTCCGGTCGTACAGGGGCTTTCTAGGTTCGGTGCGTCAACAGCCACCACCCAATGCTCGGAAAGGGCGTTCGAAACCTGGTCATTCAAACCTCATCTGCTAGCTGTGATCTTGACCGCTGGTCTACAGATAGAATGTACAGCCGCAGGAAGCGAACAATCCTTGGCTCATACATGTGTGGAAATCATTGTCTTACCCATCTGTCTGGGACTGTGAGGAACTCCTACACTGTTCATCCCCAGGCAACGGACTTCAAGCTATTTCCGTGAGTCGCCAAGACGTTTCTGACAGCTTCCCTGCACTTCGTGGAAGGTACTCTGGTCAACTTTGTCTTCATCGCCGCCTTCAATCGTAATATTCGCACAGGTCACCCACGCCTGTTACAAAAGCACTACTATACTCCTGAACGTAAAGCATTCTCTTTGGTACGATCGTTTGTGTCCGAGCTGCCTTTACAATCGGACTTCTGCTGTGTGCACGTTGCGGTGACCCTGGCTCTTCGACACCCCTCTTGTGCAATAGCGACAGGCACCCTCGAACCGCAGCCACATCTCCCAGCTTCTCTTCCCTAGAGGCTCTACTAGAGGTACCAGTGGATCCAGCGCTTTCCTTACCCCACAACATTTCGAGCTCGCTGTGGAGGTGCGACTGGTGCTGCAAGTGACCGGGGTCCCTACCGAGTATTACTGTGGGCGGCTTCATCCACTATCCATCACACTCTGATTCGTTTCATATCTCCTGAGGTCAGCCTGCTATTTCTGTACGGTCAAGCGCTTCGCGATCCTATATCGCGTTGCATGGTCCTGCGACTAGACGGTGTATTCGTCCTGCTAAGCTAACGGATCGTCTGGCCTGAGGTGAATACGCCTCGATGGCTGGCATCTAATCGGTCATGAACCGAAGCAGCGAACGACCGCGTGATGGATCTCGAATATGGTCGAGGGAGATGCAGACTAGGACCCTACCACGAAGGTCTAGGTGACATCTTCGTATACCGTCTGGATACTTCTCGCTTTCCGAAAAATTTCGTGCAGGATTACAAAATAGCTGAAAGACATCCAGCTCGATATGTTGATCCAGTACTCGATCTTGAACTTCCTATCGGGACCACATCCACCGGTGCGGAACATGCGAGAGCGGTCTCGCTGCTTACACAAGGACACATACATCCGCTCAGCACGTTGTCCGCGCGTGTGCGCAGCTACACGTCCTCTACACGAACTACATTGCAATTCGTGGCGTAGCACTTCACACCCAAACAAGCAAGGACAGGGAAAATCGTCGGATGAGAGTGTGAAGGGTGGGCAAACCTACCACTTCCGCACCACTACGATCGTTCATGCCGAAAACATGAGGAGACTAGTACTCCAGATGTCTTTAGCTTCAACTCGGCAGTGGTGCTGTACTTGTGGTGGAGGAGCACTAGTAGCCACTGCTCACATGGTGAAGGCCACGAGCAGCGGAAAGGCGGCATGAGAAGACAAGATGCGAGGTGTGTATATGTATATCCATTGTCATACGATACTCGTACACGGGCGTCCATAAATATCGATAACCATTTACAAATAGGCATCTGTGGCCAGCAGATGTCGACGCGACGAGGAGGGCACCTTAACCTTCAAGTTTCCGACCGCTCAAGGACCAAGAGCCACTCCGGGTTGACCGACTCCGACGCCTCGAGGAAGCCCTTCTCGTCTATGGATATATGGGCGAGGTGGGTGAAGGATCCTTGAGCGGGGGCGGAAACTACCAGAGGAGCACTGGCACGCCGCGCGCCGAGCAGCGACCTTCGCTTCTTTGGGGTCACGGGCTTGGGCGGAGCTAGGGAAGGTCAGCAGAGGCTCTGGTATGCAGGATAGTGCGTACCAAGGGTCTTCGTGACCGTGTCGAAGAAAACGTCCGCTTCCTCGTCGTCGTCGAAGCGGAAGCCGTATTGCCGACTCTGCAACGCCCCCGATCAGTCATGATTGCGGATATGTAAACGAGAAACTTACAGCACCAGCGAACGAATGGAAGAACGGCTTGTCCTTCTCGTACTTCATGCCCTTTTGTATACTATACGCCCACACCACCTTGCTCTTCGTCCTCACCTCGGGGTCAATCAGCCGGAACCAATACCCGCCATCCGGGCAGCGGTCCCGCCCGAAGACAAGCATCCCCTGCAAGCCCGAGGGCGCCCACTGCGCAGGCTTTCGAGCAGAAGCGAAGGCCGCGTGGTATAGCCGGCCATCCACGGTGCAGATGATCTCGTAGGACGCGGAGGGGAGGGCGGCGGCGAGGTGGTGCTCGAGACCTTGGTAGCGCGGAGACATGATACTTGATTCTTGGTGTCGGTTTCTAGATAGTGTGCGGCGATATGAATGTCGAGGCGACAAGACTGAGTGTTGCGGTCGCGGACTCGGACTCGGATATAAGGTGAGAGACCGCGTGTCCGCAGGAGCAAGCTCAACCTCAGGGTCGTGGGGCTGCTCTCAGCATGCTGCAGGAAGGATGATACATGCCTCTGTGCTGAGGACCAAGAGGTAATCGGATTGTTCATGCTAGCTCATGCCATGGTTCCGAGCCGTAGCATAGGATTATGATCAGCCTGGCCTACAGTTATATCCCATGCCCTGTAATTCCGAGATCGACGACGCGGGATCGTATGTCGCCAACGTGAGTGCATCCTTGCATACTCCATACTTCTTCGTTCATGGGAATTATTCCAGTACTAGTCCTGCGTCGTACTGACCAATGGACGAGGCAAGTTATGGCGTGAGAATTGTGGCTTCGGGAAGATCGTCCGCACATCCTAGTGTCGGAGAATTCCGGCTTAGTTTGAGGATAAAGTGCCAATGAGGTCCCGTAGGACTCCGTCACCTATAGCTGCTCAGAGGATATACGTTGAAGGAGGAACTGATGAGGACTCTTCTCGATAGATTAGATTTGTAACCATGGCAGACAGTGCAATGGGAACACTGTCAGGGAAAAGAGGTGGTATGACTACTCTGGTGTTGAAGGTCAGGAGCATTTGCCTCAGACTCTGCCTCAGGCTCACACCCTCGCTCTATAACAGCGCCGGTCGCATAAATCGCTCTCGTCATAGAATTATTCGCATTTATATTTATATCATGTTGAATAATGATAAACACCCGCCTGGAAATCAGGACTGAATTACCCGTTGAAGGGTATTGTGCCTCTCTCACAAACAACTCTAGGCACACTTGCAGATCAAGGTTCTAATGAACATTTCTCATTCCACTTCGATTTCCGTCACTTGAACGTAGCCCCTGCCGGGCAGATTCAGCAGAGGCTCTATGTGCGACGGCAAAATTCAGATGATCGCCTTACCTCGTGGCATATACTTTCTTGATCTTCATCCCGGCAGCACCAAGTATATCATTCACACGGTCGTACGTGCGATCGAAAGCTAGGAGACGCATGTTTTACGGGACGCCTTCAATGGACGCCTTCAATGTAGCCTCTGTCGGATTTTCGAGGAGCAGCCACAAGAAAGACTGCAAGATGGGTCAATGAGACAGTGGGCGGGTGTTTAGGATTTTGTGCACTTACTAAATTCTCAACGACAACCCTGCGCGCCTCATACAACGCAGGTGATGTGATGTATGAAGGGTCATCGATGGGGTGAGGCTTGGACACAGGGTTCTGGTAAGTCTTGCTTCGCAAGCTCAGCCTTGAAAACCTCAATAGAGCTTGTCAGTGTATCCAAAAGGCTCGATATCTCCGAGACCGATGGCATTGTCCGCGGTGCAGAGTTGATGTCTGTAATGGGGTGTTAGGGTAGGACGTGAAGCAGATGAATGCCGCAGCAATTCTCTGTTGAAACATCAATAGACAGGACCACTGATACCTTCCAGTGCAATTCGCAAATACGTCATGGTCCTGTACTTCGGGATGAATTGGGGGATTTTGCTCATCGGTGGCTGATTATCAATAACCCTGGATCTTCTTGAACATGTACTGTGGAAGATGAGGGAAGGTCAATAAATGGCCAGGATGATCCTCGCTTACCGAGCTCACCACTTCGTAGGATCTGGAAACGCTATCAAAAGAAGCCTTTCTTTTCAAGTTAGCATTGCTGACTAGGATGGACATATGCAACTTAGTGTTACTCGTGGAGCGTAAATGCCGATCACGAAGGCATTGAATTCGAAGTACTCCAGTCGGAGAATGATGATTGCAGAAGGTAGGTGATAGGTCGAACGGGGAAGCAACGGGACATTCGAAAAGCCGTTACATCAGACATGCAAGTATCGAATACATGCATACAATGATTGCTTGTGTCACAAAGTACGTTCGGACGTACCTTCAAATGGCCTCACTGGCAACTGCGGTGATCTGGTGACCTAGACATTTATGTCATGTTGCATCGGGACTGGCTCGTAAATCGGCACTTGTGGCCTATGGAATGGACCTCATTATCGATTTCGAGATTAAGAATGCATGTCATAATGGGTTAGGTATCTGCGATTGAGGAGTGAGCACGGCAAACATGCAGTTAGATCACATCAGACCAGCTGCTGGAGCAAGACGATAAGGGCGACATTAGTTGCATACAGCACCGAGTTGATTGTTTCCGGAGACCTGGAATGCGATGGAGGCACGGCGAAGTTGTAGTCCTCCGAGCGTGCAGCGAAAGAATCCCCGCGACATTGGCTTGCACGCAGTTCGTTGTGGGAGAAAGCCTTGACACCGACGAGGTCCAGGGATCATGAGAAAGTAAGTGTACCAAGAGCGGATTCGAAGATGGCTGACCCTCGACCAACCAGGATGCACGGTCAATAGTGCCTCAGCATTGTTCTGTGCCCCCCCCCCCCCCCCGCGCGCGCCTGCCAATCGCACATGTCTGGACAACTGCGGACAAGTCCTGTAGAGATCCTCGAGGATATTGATGACGACATAGATATCGTTTCTTTGTATTCCGGGGCTGAATGATCGTCTGATTCAGGATAGACGAGATCTCAAAGAACTGAGACATCATTGACACCGTTACCGGATCCGGGATGACCAGTGGGGCTTCTTCCACGCAATTTCTTTATCTGTAAATAACTGGACAATGTCAGAAGGGACAGATCAGCTGGGATGCCGAGTAGTGGAGTAAAAATGAGACGAGTACGCAGCCGCCGATGAGCATGCTAAGGTTCTTGTCTGTCCACTTGTGATATCATCGCGGTGCACTTCCTGTCATGACTATCCTTGGTAATGGGACACTGAACTCGCCGAAGGTGTAAAAAAACAAACCCAGACCGCATCTGAACCACTTACTTGAGTTCCTAAGAGTACGTTGCGATCTAGAGCCGTACTCCCACATCTTTCCAGAATGCCGTCTATCTGCGGTGTCATATTCATCGCCAGCGGCGGAATAACGAGACGAAATTTGAGCCCTGAGGTTGAGATGCATGAAGAAAAGACTACGGTAAGGGCCGCTTGGCTATCTCAACTTTGAACACTTGAGGTAAGCTTGACACTAGAAGGGCATCTAAAACGTAGGGCGTTATCACCGTAGATTAGTGTCGTTCTTGGGGTTAGAGGTCACATCGCACACTGACTGACCCTACTGGAACTTGAACACAATTTTAGGAGACGGTTCCGGCGGCGGGAATACGTAACTTTGTCAAAGGTGTCATCTAGGAGAACCTCTGGAGATCTGGAGGGCGAAGCCGTCCCTCCGTAACCTGTCAGGTCAGTACCGATCTTCGATTTACGGTAGGGTTGGGAAGTATTACAGGCGACATAACTCTGTCGACCGCATGACCTTCTGTATAATTAGCGTGACGTCAAGATAAGAAACACGGAAGTGCTAAACAGTAAGTAATGTTATGAATGGATACAAGGAAGACAATACGTGCCTTCTACGGAGAAGAGATGGATACGGGAAGTAATCAACCAACAGGCTTCGAACGGTACCCATTTTACAAGAAGCACAGGCGAAAGTTCATTTCACAGGAAGCTGTGATCAAAAAGAAATCCTTCTGTTCTTTGGTTAGACTCGACCTTTTCCGACATTCCTGCCAATACCATGTGTAACGAGGTCAGCGCTACAAAGCAGGCCGAGGCTGCAATTGTGGCGCGAACATAGTGTGGCTTCGGCGGCTTCGGGTAGATCGTCCGAAAGTATCGCACGTGGGTCCAGGACACCATTTCCTTCAGGGCGAAATTTCGACCCAAAATGACTCCAGCCTGCAGCCTCCAGTATAGCCTTGCGTCCCCTGGTAAGAATCTTCCGGGATGAAGTATTTTTCGACTCGCGGTGGGGATCAGGAGCTATCATTTGAGGAGGTCGGTTGCATCAACCAAGTGCGTGCTAGGACTGACGGGCTTATAGACGGTTCTTACAGGCCTCGCACCGGACGGAGGCCTATACATACCTGAACACATCCCAACCTTACCGGAGAACTGGCAGAACGACTGGCAGGGATACTCATTCCAAGAGCTGTCCGTAGCTGTCCTCTCTCTGTTCATCTCGCCAGAGGAGATCACCCGCGATGAGCTTCGGACGCTGGTGGACAAGTCCTACAGCACTTTCCGGCATCCTGACATAACTCCCTTACACAAATTAACTGAAAAGACCTTTGTGCTGGAACTTTTTCATGGGCCGACCTTTGCCTTCAAGGATGTCGCCCTCCAGCTTCTCGGGAACCTATTTGAATTCTTCCTCCTAAGGCGGAATGCGCGCAAGTCAGCTGAGGAGAAGCCGGAGAGACTGACGGTGGTCGGTGCTACTAGTGGGGATACAGGAAGGTGAGTCAAATAATGCCCTCTGCGACGTTTGCGCCATATACCGTTTGGCATATCCATCAGTGCTGCCATCTACGGTCTCCGTAACAAGGCGAACATCTCGATCTACATCCTTCATCCAAAAGGTCGTGTGTCGCCCATCCAAGAAGCCCAGATGACGACGGTCACCGACCCCAACGTTCACAACCTTGCAGTCAAGGGCACGTTCGACGACTGCCAGGTCTGCTTGCCCCTATCCTCTCCATCGTCACTGCTCATCTCCTTCTAGGACATCGTAAAAGCTCTCTTCGCCGATAAAACCTTCAACGCGAAGCACCGACTCGGTGCTATCAACTCCATCAATTGGGCTCGCATCCTCGCCCAGACGGTGTACTACTTCCTCGCCTACTTCCATGCGCGCCGGCAACTCTCATCGTCGGAACTCCAGTTCGTCGTCCCCACCGGCAACTTCGGTGACATCCTCGCGGGGTACTATGCGAAGCGTATGGGGCTCCCGATGGGCCAGCTCGTCGTCGCCACCAACGAGAACGATATTCTCGCGCGGTTCTGGCGCAGCGGCCGGTACGAGAAGGTTGATGGCGGGGATGGCACCGGCGCGGCGGCTCCGGCGAACGGTGCGTCAGACGGAAAGCAGGCTGTGGGTGGCGTGAAGGAGACGCTGAGCCCGGCCATGGATATTCTTGTGTCGAGCAACTTCGAGAGGCTGCTGTGGTACTTGGCGTACGAGACTGCCGGGGCGAACAGAAAGGAGGCGTGTGCAACTGTGAAGGGGTGGATGCACAAGGTGAAGGCGGACGGGAGGGTAGAGGTGCCGATGAAGGTCCTGGAGTTGGCTCGGAAGGACTTCATTGCGGAGAGGATATCGGACGCTCAGGTTCGTATGCATTATCCGGTCTGCGCATGACAACGCCCAACTCGCGATCGTTGTCTCATTCAGACCCTCGATACTATCCGTGACTATTACAACTCGACGACGCCATACGTAGCGGATCCGCACACCGCGGTCGGCCTGTGCGCTGCCCGGGTCGTCGCTGCTCACAAGTGCGTCGTACCTTTCTTTCTTCTTTCCTCAAGTTGCTCAGTCTCTTCCTATAGTCCTTCATCTGTGACCCAAATCGTGCTCTCCACTGCACACCCCGCCAAATTTTCCGAAGCAGTCACCCAAGCCCTCTCTTCGGCTTCTCAGTTCGACTTCGACCGGGACATTCTCCCAGAGGAGTTCCGAGGTCTTCTGAAGAAAGAGCGCAGAGTGATTGACGTCGAGAGGCCGGACGTTGAGTTGGTGAAGGCTGTGATAGAGAAGTACAGCTCGGAGGATGAGTGTAAGGTAGCGGCTTCCAGGGCTAGCGTGTAGCGAGAAGAGGGAGAGGAGAAGGCAAACCGGGTTGATACAGGCTTACACACTACGCGAGAGGAAGGCCAGAAGGGTCCTTGGAATAATGTATGCTTTCCTGTCCGTTCGACTCAATGCACTATTCAACGCGCCTCTATCGAGTCTAGTCAAGCAACGTCCCGGGTAATTGCAAGAGTCGGTGAACCAAGAAAGGCAGGACAAAACTATGCCTTGTCGGGGATCTTACACCGCAGTACAACCGATGGCGATGATGCCACCGTAGGTATTGTCCTGGCAGCACAGGGACACATGCGCACTATCGACGTATCGTAAGAGTCAGTGATTCTCCTCTGCATCGTCAGCTCCACATACACGTACCATGAAGCACCAGCCTGCATCGACTGGCAAGTCAGCCCGACGGGTGTGCTGAGATCGTGTACCACGATGCCCAGCAGCGAGAGCAGCAAGCTAGAACTTGAACTCGCAGCGGTGGAAAGTGTCTGACAGCAGACGTTTGCGCAGGTAGTAGGGGTGCTAGACGCTGCGGACCGCTTGGCTCCTGCATGAACGGGGCGGGAGTGAGTATGGTATAGCAGACACTCTGAGAATGCGAAGAGAACAACCTGCGGTGGGCGAGAATCTCTTCTTCGGCTTTAAGGGAGTTAGTCCACGACGCAGACGCTCTGCGTTGGGTGGGAGAGCCGATACGGAGAGGATAGAAGGAAGGGCGACTGCCAGGATGGTGAAAAGGAGTGTGGACCTCATATTCAAGGAGCGACAGGAGCGAAACAAATTCACCGGCGAGCGTTGGTGAACTGTCACTATATATCATGGGTCTGGGGTCCCCCGGGCTGAAATATCGGCCCCTGATCGCCCTGATTACTAGTGCAGGCACCGACGTTGACATTGACAGGAGTAATTGGGGAGTGTCCGTAGGTCGATCGAGAGCGTAGATAGCTGCACTGCACGATGATGTCCAAGCTGCTTCATATGGATGTAGATGCAGTCGAGGATATGTTTTCATACTGGGTTCCTTCGTCACTGCTCTTCCCAGCGGCTAAGCACGCCAGCAGTGTCTTGGGAGAAGTAAACACTGAAACACGCCTTGCTAGACCGGAGCGAAGCAGACTCCGGGTTCTATCAATGGCGACGACAGGGAAGCTGGACAATGAAGCGCAGCATATTATTTTGTTAGTATACAGCGTAATATACCTTCCCCATAGATTTCAGTTAAGGGCAACAATGATACACCGCAAGACTCACATGCAAGTGAGACTGAACCAACGAAATACCCAACCCCGCTAAACCTGAGTATCCATATCTTCCGGTCGACTCTCCGTCGAGACGCTCGGATCCATAAAACTGTGGTCGCATTTTGTACACACGAAGAAGAGGATCATACGTGTCTCCTTTCGTTTCGATTGGTCTTGGAAGAAGACCGCACTGCATTAGGTACGCGTCAGCGGCGAAAATCAGGCGGTAATCACATTACGTACTCCTCGTTTCCACAGCGAGGGCATGAGATGTTGCTGTGCGCCTGGGATGTTGTCAGATCGCGCACATGAACTGCCTAGGGGACACTCACCAGGGTGGGGTCAGATCCTAGATCCGTGGTGACGCCGACTTTCTCTCTATCAATTTCGGCGTCAGAAACGAGTGTGCAATCGACAGAAACGAGTGTGCAATCGACAGTATCGAGTGTTGTGCGTACAGTGGGGGAATAGGTGGCGCAGAGCAAACCACGTACTTTGTCACCGTCAGCAAATCATTCCTGTACACGCACTGGTTCTCCCCAACCTCGTCATAGGCGCAAATGCGACATGCATAAACCATAACTCTCCGAGCAGAATCCGCCTTCGGGTACAGAAGGTTATTGCATTCTGAGCAGAAGTGTAATGAGGCCTAGGTTAGCGGAGTATGGAAGTTCAAGATTTTTCAACAGACAGTAGTGGTCGTTCGGATAACAGTTAGCAACTGAAGAAAGCTATAGGAAACCCTTTAAGGCGTACCATGAAGAGACACTAGATGGTGGCGGGAGAGAAGGCAGGGCGTAGGAAACCTCTCAAGAAAGGCGGAAACGACCCACGGGCCGCAGATTCCAGGAGGCTGGGACAGGCTGGGACCCACGAATGCCACAGACTCAAGCCTAAGGGTTAGACGCGAATCCTCCTCCAGCGGTCTTTGATGTCTCGTTTACAATACAAGACTCTTTCTACTGGGAAAACTACAGCTAGGACAAAATTTCACGCATATGCATTCACTGCTGAAAGACACAAGGAAACGGCGCCAGATGAAGTCAACGTTCTCGATGTTTCATATTTTGATTCGGACCCCCTGGCGTCGTAAATGAAAGAAGTGTGCACCCATGTGCTTCTGTGGAACCTACCAATGTACAGGTATGCACCGAACGCTCTCCGTTACCTTGAGTGAGACCGCTGCCCCCCAACCCCCCTCTGAGCTTTCTATCCTATGCGTGCGTTCACTACCCTTGCAGACGGGTCGATGTCAATTGCCAGGATGCGCGGTCAATCTTCTCCTTCCACCCGCCATGAAGTCCGGATGCTCAATGACCTGCGAAGCGGTGAAGCTGACAGAGTCCGTTCCTTGATCCCACCATTCTAGAGAGCGGTGACGAGTCTTCTGCGCACCCCGGGAGCTGCGAAGACCTGTCCATCGGGCATCTGCCCTTCTTGTATTTTCGACCGGACCCAATTCGGCGCGGCGAGAATCCCGCTGGCATGACGAATACCTTGACTTCAAAGCGGGTGTTAAAGCGGCTATCCATCCATCGATGAACCGTCAAGGATCAAGGCGATACACGAGATAAGCTGGCCTTAATGAAGTGAAGAGACGTCACTTTGGGTAGTCATTGCTCACCCTTCCAGAACTTTGTTAAAGTCACAAGGTCCGGCGACATCCCGTAGGATTGGCAGGCTTGCGTAACGAAGTAGAAGCCTCCACCTTTGCCGCGCGGTCCACCGAAGGTTGCGCAATAGACCCTAGTGCGTCTGTTCGTCTCCGGCAGCATGTCGTGCTCCTCCACCTCATCCGAAACGCGTCAGGCTTCGCAGAGACGACAGCGAGGTAGGGACCAACGTACGCAGTAATACTCCGCGCTCCGCAAAGATTTATGGACTGGTCGCAAATATATCTTATTCGTGACAGCCAGAAGTGACCTTTAGGACCTTGCTCGTCGCGCCTATGTGCCCGACATGTCCACCGACTTCGGCTCCCGCCTGTCAGGATGGTGTCAGGTAAGGTATGTACGGCCAGTCAAGTGGTGACGCCCCCTCCCCGTGAGCAGCGATGACAGACTCAAGCTATGCGCTCGGTCGTCTTGGTCATGTTGGCGTTTATATGGTCGGGACGCACCAGCAGCAGTCATTCACTCCGTGGACGGCGAAAGCAATCCATGATCTGGCCCAAGAGACACAGCGTCCTGTTTCATCTACTGCTACCCATTGGAGATCGGGTTTACTTCCTTCGCGGTCAACAAATGCTTATGACCAATTCAGCAACACGCCTGGCTGCCGGACTCGAAGGGAGCGCGAAATATCTCTCTCTGCCTTTCCCCTGCAGCTTGTTGCTTCCTTGGATTGCGCTCAGGAACCAGGGTCTACTTGTTCAGTGCGGTGGCACTGCCTAGTCTAGGCAACGTACTCCAGAGTCAACAACTGGTCCATAAAACTTGAACGATCGCTAAGCATGCCGTTCATCTTGTCCCAGGAAGGCGTTAAGGCTGCCGCAGCGCTGGCCACGCGAGAGGGTCCCAAAGCCGGAGGGAACGCTACTTCAGTCGCGGGAAGTCTAAGACCGTGCTGGATTTCAGTTCGCGAGCATACAATGTTGTCGGAATAGATGGACATCGGCACGGGCGGATTCACCTACGACAGGTCCGGACCACAGGACTAATAACCTACGACTATTGATAGGACGGCTATCTTGCCGTGTCTCGGGTGGATGGGCCTCATGCTCTCTGCGATGTGTAATTGCTCTATTCCGTTGGGCGTTCAAGATCGAGTACGATTTACTTGCTAATCCAGCGATCTCAGCTTGCGATCCAATTGACCACAGGAGAACGATCGGACAGATCGCGACCAATCTGTGGACGTGAACTCATCTAGGTCTAGAGGATGCCAAAGAGTCAGACTGTCTTTGGATATGTGATGTCTTGCTTGCTACGTTACCTCCATGGTCCTGTATGGGCACTTCTCTCTAGTGATGAATGTGGCACACATCCGGGTCGTCCGAGCCCCGATGTATCGACGCTACAGTCAGCTCGTCCCAGCCAATATCTTGGACCACTCTTCACTTACATCAGTCTTCTAGTTGCTTAAACCAGACGCTATGATGGGTCCTTGCCGCGGTGGGATGGCGGTACGTGGTTGAGGGTGCTTTTGCCTGACGGTCACGTGCCTAATCAACGGGTGGCCAGAACGCTTTGACCTTTCGAACTGAGTTTAAATACTCGAGTCTTCTTGCCACACAACCAAATCACCTCTTTCACCTCCGAAACTTCCATGGCCTCTGCGTCTTCTATAGCTTTTCCCGTATCACGCTCCTGCGAACTCGGCGTAGGCACCATGTCATCCCGACGCCCGTCGGACAGTAGCCCGGAGGATACTCCGCTCGCCACACCACCTAACGAGGAGGCCTCCGCTGGCGCTTGGACATCCCAAGACAACGATGACACAAATCCAGCGAGTGCGGCGGTTGTGCCACACGATCAAACCGAGTCGGCGCGACACCAGTCGGAGGAAGGCATCTTCCCGCCTGAAATTGCAGCGAAGCTTGATCGTCCCTGGCACCCAGCTGTTTCCGAAGAAAACTCATTATCGCCCGATGTCGAGTTCGCGTCGTCCGACCAGTTGGATAACGAAGTCGATGACCTTGATTTCAAGCGCTTGGCCATAGACGACGCCGAAGTAGAGGAAAAGGCGGAGGACCCGCCCCGCTCGGCTCCTGAGCAATTGGAACTACCACCCCTCCCAGTGGACGGGTTCGTCGTCGGCGACATGGTGAAGGGTTATCCCATCAGTCAGGGTGCGTTTGCCAAGACGTGGGAGATGCAATGCTGCGTGACGGGGCGCGTGGTGTGCGTTAAGAGCATGCACAAAATTGAAATGGCCAAGAAGTATCGTAGTGTCCTATTCGCCGAACTAAGGGCCTACAAGCGCATTGCTGATCAATTCACGCGGGCACCATATATCATGCAGTGCCATGGGTTCTTGCAGGAATTCTCGTATATCCATCTGGTACTGGTGAGTATGCAAACCCTGAAATTCCTTATATGTCGCGTCTCTGAAATGTTCGTGCCAGGAATGCATGGAGCGAGATATGATGGACCTGATCCACGCCGGCAGAGTCAATGGTCAGGAGAAGCGCTGGATCGCGCAGACGGTAAGCTGCTAATCTTGTGTTATTTGCTATATGTGCTGAGAATGCCACCATTAGGCTGTTGGAATCGACGCTCTGCACAAGATGGGAATTCTCCATCGGGATATCAAACCAGAGAACCTACTTGTCGATGCGCAAGGCAACATTACCATCAGCGACTTCGGATGTTCCTACGTCCATGACCGACGTGGACCGCTATGGCCGTATAGGACATATTGTGACGAATATATCGGTACTGACCCGTACACTGCCCTGGAAGTTCACAATCGCCAACCGTACGGTGTTGCGGTTGACTGGTGGTCTTTGGGCTGCGTTCTATTCGATCTGCTCGCTGGATGTGTACGTTTCTCCTCGCTGGCCCTGATTAAGAATAATCTACATAGCTCACGAATGACTGTTCCACAGTATTTGTTTGACGGCGAAGACGAGAGATGTGACCAGTGGCGCTTGTACGAAAGATGGGACGAACTTGGCGACGCCTCGGGCCCTAGCTACCCTGCCTGGCGGGCTAGTCGTAATGGCGTCACCTTAACGAAGGAACAAGATCATCTCATATGTGCGGTGAGTAGTACCGGAGCTTTGCTTGGTGTATAATGCACCGATATCTTATTCCAACTATTCCTCAGCTGATTCGAAAGGATCCGAAACATCGGTATCGCTTCGCAACCCTAGCCCTGGACGAGTGGTTTGTGGATGAGAATGGGTAAGTCAAAATGGCTGCAGTAAAGTTAACCTTGATTTCGCATCTAACTATATACGTCCACCCAGAAAGAATCTCGTCCTTGAAGCACGCGCACAGGCGGCGGAAATAGGTACGTCCCCGCAAGTTTTAATGCCGCACGACCTTCTAACTCCTTCCCTCCTCAGATTACTCATCGCTGAAGAATATCGACGAGCCTTTCGTTCCTGACACCCGTCCAGAGACTTATTCTCTCGACGATCCCGTCTATAACTATCCCTCCTACATCCCAACCGACGGGTGTGACGGCTTGTACAGAGACTTAGGCTGGATCAACCCAAAGGGAATGTGGGGAGATCTCCCAGCTCCCCCACCGATGCGACATTAGTGCACAGTTCTTGCATCGTATAATTATATTGCTTATTATGAATGACTGTCGTATCCTTATTGCTCTCGTGTAGGTTTCTCGGGTAGACTGCGGTACCTTGGTTGCTCTCCTTGAAGTTTGTTGTGTATGTTGTGGTATCTTTATTGCTCTTGTATAGGTCTCTGTGTACGGTAATGTACCTTGGCATTCTTGACCTTAGATGTTCCGTGTCTTCGCGGGCATCCGTCCGCAGGTGGCCGCTCTGCCCCCTGAATTTTGCTTCCGTTAGCGAAGGTTCTGATCTGCCCGAGCCCTCATTTGAAAGCAATTTTCACGGAAGGCCCATCTGGTCCCATCGCATGTGGCGAAGCTCCAGAGCTACCTACAACGGGAACCTTAATTATAATCTTATGGTAGTACATGGTGATAGAGGAATGGAACACTGGACCCACTCTGAAGGTGGGTAACGTTAATAGCAATTCGTTGGACTTGCAGGATGTTTTAGGCTCTCTAAACGACTGCAGTCGGCTAGGTCGATCCATAGCTGGGTCCGTCGGGGCTCGGTTACACTGTGTCTTGATGTTATTTCCTGCCAACAAGGTTGCCCAGATCGTCGACTCCGATATTTAATTTTACGCACCTGACGTCCGGGAACATTATGCCTTTGCTGGAAGGTCCATGCCGTCAAGACGGGTGGCGGTTAGATAGGCCTGGGTGAGATCCCTCTTCGCGGCTTTAGCGATCGGAATACCGATACATCGTCTCATTTCTCGGGCCTCGAATACGCCGTCACCGTCCGTTTTGCATATATATACTCTGCGATAATGCGGGCCCCCTTTTGTTATCCCCCGGCTCTCGTTGTTGCATGACTGGAGGAATGCTTGCGCGCTTGCCGAACCACACTTTCCTTAATTGGCAACTCTCTTTACCTCCGTTTTGTTCAATTCGACATTCCTTTAAGTCCTCACGGTTTGTATATCATGGCCGGCCGCTCAACTGGGCAGCGATTCCGCTCCAAAACATCAGATTTATCTGAGTTTCTGCGTGGCAGCTCGCACGGGTCTCGCCCACAAGACGCGATACCTCCTCCATTGCCCTCCGCACCAAGCTCCGAAGGCCATAGGAATAAACGAAGGCTTCATTTCCTGAGCCGAAAGAAAAAGTCTGGCTTACCTGTTTCCGCGGCAGCCACTCCACCCGTTCCCCCGTCCAAGAATGCATCCCCATCTGCACATCAGGAGTATAAACGCGACCCAAATCGCCGTAAAGGTCCAGGGTAAGTACCTCCCTGCCAGCATGATGTCGAGTATTCTAGCATACTTCCTTTCTATGCGCATTGTACGGCTGTCATCATTTGTTCTTTATATTTATAGTTCACCCGCTATTTTTGCCTACCGTCCGGCCGTCTATAGTTCTTTCAGGGTGAGCCATATGGGACACAAATTATCTAGAACTTCAACTAGATCGGTTTATATTAGGCCTGGCCCCTTTCCTTATGACAACTGACGCGGCCTTCTAGCATTCCCAGCGCAATATGGAACGAAGACGAAGAATACTTCGGAGACGAGCAGCACGGGGGAGCCATACCTTCACGGTTGCCTCCTGTCAACGTTTCTCCGCCCTCATTCCATTCGGTAACGGAGCAATTTACACCTTCAAGCCGCAACGCTGCCCATTCTTCTAATCCCGCTGGCACAGTCGACCTACGTTCTCAGCACTCAATTGCTTCTCCCCGCAATTCCGAATCGTCCAAGGATGGTACGCAAACGCCGACCCCTCGGACGCCTCACCCTACTATTGCTATATCACCCCCTCGCGCTACCCCTTTAGCCCGTGCGGGTGAGATATCCCGGTGTCCCCCGACCGGAACGTCGTCACCCGACTCCTCAGAGACTGGCAGAGCCAATGAACCGCCCAGCCCAGACCCCAAACGTCTCAGCGTGCCGGGCGATGTCTACGTAAGTCCCCTCTCATCCTGTCCAAGCCGCACCGATTTAATTACTCCTGCAGCAGTCAAATGTGTCGACCTTGTCTCTACGGGGTAGCGTAGACACGGACAGAAGGACGTCGTCGACTATATCCCTCGACTGGAGATCCGAAACCGAGTCCGAGGTCAGTATGACGCGGACGAGGACAAATAGCGGAGGTGCGACTTCGCTCATGTCCAGCACGTCCGACACGTCGGCCGCCAGTCTAGTGCAGAGGCGCTCGGTCAGGCAGATTCCGTCGCCGCTGCGGTCCAAGGCGCCTACCGCTCCGCCCAACATACCTCTGCCTACACCGCCGCTCAGTGCCGCTTCCGACGGAGCAATCCCGGCGGCGTACTCTTCTACATCATTTCCCTCCATTCCTTCTATCGTCTCTCAGCAGCATCTACCATCCGGCCGTGAGCGGGGGTCCCCGCGTCCGAGAGCCGTTACGACTTGCTCGTTGCCCGCTAAGATGGTGAAGTCTGCTGGTTCCCCGCGGTCAGCAGCCTTCCCTTCTACTCCAAACAGCAATGCCTCTCCCCACCACACCAAGACCCCCACCAAGAAGCACATAGGAGACGAAAACATCGATATCGACGGGACAGCCCACGACCAGCTGCGCCGCGCCGTCACCTCGCAGCGCTCGAAGATCGACGACCTCTCCGAGTACCTCCTGGAGATCATCGGCAAGCACGAGGCGGAGAAAGCGCTCCTCGAGCACCGCATCGAGTCTCTCGAGAACGAGGCGAGGAAGCGGGACAGGGAGATTAGGGGCCTGCGCTACCTCCTCATGAACGGCGGCGTGCCTGGGACAACGGAACCCCAGCGCGCCGCGACGCGCTCGCCGGGGGCGGATACCATCGAGGGCCTGCAGCTGCTCGAGCAGATGACGCCGACGCGAGGATCGAAATCGTCGACGCCAGCCTCCACCCCTGCGTCGAAAACGCAGAGACGGTCGGCCACGCTGTACATTCCCCCGCCCATGCGTAGCCCGAGTCGAGCGTCATCTGCGCGATCGCCCACGGAGTCCGTGATGGGGCTGGGGTTTGACAGCATGCCGCAGATACCGAACTGCCCGTCGGAGACGTCGTTGGCATCGGTGTCTTCGACGTCGACCTCTTCACTCCCACGTCTCACTGCGGGGAATACCGCTTCCTCGGACCTGTCTGCGATTCCAGAGTCGCCGACGCCGTATGCTGACCCCGACTCCCTTGATGCCGCTGAGAAAGAGGAGATGCGGTCTTCGAGGGTCTCGGTCGACTCGGCGACGAGCGCCTACGCGGCTAATTTGAGGAGGGGAAAGACGAGGTCGTTTGGGCAGGTCATGGAGAGCGAGCCTGCTCTGGGCGAGTTGGTGGAGAAGCTCAAGGTGTTGGCGGATTGATAACCCCGCCCCAAACGTACGCACTTCTCTTCTGCCCTTGCCGTGTGTCTCCATCTTCAAGAAGGACGACCCGGTGTTTCTACAGTCATTCCTGTGGACATTATCCTATTTCCGCCTTGATACTCGTGCATGCTACTCCGAAGGTTTATAATTGGTACCTTGTACTTTCTCTGTTCATCATAATTCACGTCTCTCGGCCCAGTCATTCTCCGATACCATTGGTTCATTCTGCATCTCCGCATTCGCATTCGCATTCATTCATATTCTAGCATCGTGTCATCCAAGCCATTGCAACCTACAGTACATTATACGTCTCATTTCCATCGGGTTTTGGTAATTCTTGCTGTATCATTAGTATTCCGTTGTCCCTTTTTATACGAGTACGAGTACTGTGGACGTTACCTGTTATTTTCGTCAATATAAGCATGTTAGTAAAGTTACTACTGTCAATGCCTTCGTCAATTACACCGAGTGTCGCCTGTTCGAGAAACTCAAAGCGTACATTCTCCACCGTCCCACAGAGCCGATGGCATTGACGGCCTCGACTTCAGCTTCAGGAATGATATCCATGATACCCTTCCCCAGTAATATCATGCGAATATCGTATGCATGTGCCGGGTGGGCTTCTGCGCAGGGACAACTGAAGACACTTCAACGCAATGCGAAGGCAAATATGTTATGTCATTTGGTAGTGCCTATGACACTCGCAAGAAGCGTTTAGTCAAGTGTCTAACGCACTATGATTTGACAAATGCGCGAGACACAGGCTCCTAAACCATCCGTCCTTAGCGTTCTCGCTCCTCCTTTACTAGGGCGCACGTGCAGTGTTATATAATACAAATCTATTTTTAATTTATTACCGGATACAGAACGAACAAGAGGAGGAGAACGCTATAGGACGGCTGGCACAAATGTCGACGCCGAGATCCCCGAGGCTGACTAAGCGGACGGTGGCTGAAGCCTCTCAGCAGCGGTTGGCGGGCGATGTAGAGAGCGTCTCGACACCTACCTCGCTGAGCTCACGCAGAACACATATAAACGGGTGCTAAAATAGTTCAAGACCAATGCAAATACCTTTGGTATACTTCTGACACTCAGAGGGGCTTGTCTATAGCTATTATGCCTCTTCAGCCGGATATTCAGCCTTCGGTACTACTGATAACCATTGCATGAGTATACCATTCAGTTAGGACATTTTTACATTACTATAAAGTACACCGAGCGGTAAATCCCAAGGTAATAAGTTGTAAATGGTTGCGTGAAGGCCCGCCGACCGCTGCTGAGAGGCTTCAGCCACCGTCCGCTTAGTCAGCCTCGGGGATCTCGGCGTCGACATTTGTGCCAGCCGTCCTATAGCGTTCTCCTCCTCTTGTTCGTTCTGTATCCGGTAATAAATTAAAAATAGATTTGTATTATATAACACTGCACGTGCGCCCTAGTAAAGGAGGAGCGAGAACGCTAAGGACGGATGGTTTAGGAGCCTGCGCGAGACACCGCTACAGAAAACGGAGACGACGTACACTCACTCAAAGAGAGCGGATTGG